CCACCCACCCACCACACCGCCAGCCCAGCCCAGCCCGGAGGGGGCTCCCTCCTCCCGCCTGAGCCCCGCCTCCGCTCCCAGCCTCCCCGGAGGCACGCACATCTCGGCAGGGGCTGGAAATAGAAGCCACTGCTCACTGCTGGGGAGATAAGGGGCGTCCGGGCCTCCCTCTGACAACCTGTGGGGGAAGGAGGGTGACAGGCCGGGGTGTCGCTGGACGGTTCAGCTCCCCGGCCCACTCCAACCTGCAGCCCTGCCCCCACAGCCCCCGCTGCCCAGGATGCAGACCAGAAGGTGACCTTGAGAGCTTCTCCGGGGGAGGGGGAGGCTCTGCCCAGGCCCTGCCCTCCGGCCCCCCAGCCCCCTTCCCTCCTGAGGCTCAGGGCTTCCTGCCTGCCTGCTGCCACCCAGGCCTGAGCAAGGTAGCCCCTACCCTTCCTGCTGGGCAGACAGGCCCTGAGGAGTAACCCCCCGCCCAGGAGTGGGGAGTGGGCACACTGGGGAGCAAGGGCCGGGTGCGCCAGCCTTGGAGGCCCCGCACGGGCTGCTGCCCTGTGGCCCCGGGGCCAGGGCCATCTCATGCCGACTAGAGTCGTCCCCATGGGGCCTGCCTGCCGGGCCTCCCACACCCTCGGGGAGCCCAGCCTGGGTCCCGCAGCCGGAGCTCCAGGATCCTGATGTCATCTGCCAACGTTGCCAGGACGACGGGGCACAGGAAGACTGGTGATCCGGTGGATGCCATGCCACTGTGGCCCCAGGGGAGGGATCTGCCCCCACGCCTGGCCCCGCCACCTCAGGGCCCTGCCTGCTCACCTGGAGCCTCCCTGGTCCCTGTCACCCTCCGTGGCCTCAGGTGGACGCTGTTGCTCTGTGTCCATTGGTCAGTGACGCTGCCCACCAGGTCCAGAATAGCCCTGGGGCACGAGGGAGCCTGAGGCCTGGAGCTGTGGCTGGGGGCAGGGCACTGTCCCGTGCTCTCCAGGGCACCTGGCCAGGGCCGGATGCCATTCCTTGGACCCACCCCGTTCTCTCTCCAGGCAGGGCTGGGCCCGGGACCTCCCCCCAGACACCTGTGCGGCCAGGCCGCCTCCACAGCGGTCAGTCCTGCCACTGTCAGAGGTGGAGTGGCAGGAGGGAGGGAGCCTGGCCGGGGCTCCCTGGTGGAGAGGGCACGGTAACTGCCACTTGGCGGGCACCAGGCCATGAATTAAATTATTCAGGGACACCTGAACCGGCCTGAGCAAGGAGCAGGCTGAGAATGAGTGACCGGGGCGAGCCCCACAGCTGGCCGCCCTGTCCAGGAAGGGACCCAGTCCTCCTGCCCGCCTCCTCCTGGGCTGGCTCGGGGCCAGAGCCGGGCGCCAGAGGGGGCTGGTCAGGCTGGTCGGTCAGGCTCCGGGGAATCTTGTGTTTCAGTGGCTGTAGGGTGTGAGTGTGAGTGGGGGGGTGGGGTAGCCACCCCAAGGAGCTGGCCAGGGCAGGGAGCCAGGAACCCTGGGTTCGGGAGGTTGGGGACACTGGCTGCTCCTCCACTCCACTGGTGAGGGATGGGGCCAGGCTCCGCCCGTCTCCGGCAGGAGAGTGGGTGAGGGGTGCTGGTCCTGTCACCTGGGCCTGGAGGGGTCTGTCCGCCCCACAGGTTGAGGCTCAGCTGGGGCTGGGGGCCCAGAGAAGGGCCTATGGTGAGGGGAACCCCCGAGAGGAGGGCGGAGGGTCCTCCAGGTCCCCCCCCAGGTGGGAGTGCGGCGGGGTTAG